TATATATATAAATAAATAAATAAATATATATAAATAAATAAATAAATATATATATAAATATAAAATAAAAGGATGCACATTACTATAAAATGAGATGAGTTGTAGACAAGCGTATAACTATTCCTTGTCTTCACCATGCCCAAAAGGCAAAGCAAAGAGAAAACAGCAAGTAGATTGGTTTTATTATTTAAAAAACAAAAATAAGACATTTTAGTATTAGATCATTAAAACAAAGTATATATACACACACATAAAAAAAAAAAAAAATCATGTAAACAATCTAGAAATAAGTGAGGTTGAAACTTCTGAGTCCAAAAAGTTAATAGTTTACAAGTGTCCATTCAGGCACTCAGAGTCTCTAAAAATCAGCATCCAGTCTGAAAGTGTTATCTGTGGGTCCGGACATGACTCCCATCCGCTGGTACTCGCCCACTCGCTTCTCAAAGAAGTTGGTCTTGCCCTCCAAGGAAATGTTCTCCATGAAGTCAAAAGGATTTTCCACTTTATAGACCTAGAAAGCAATTAAAGGTTAATACCAAACAAGTTAAAATACCATCTGTTGAAAAGGCACATAAGGCTACTGATCCAAGGTCAGTCACAAAGACTATACTGCCACCATAAGCAGAGATGTAAAATTAATTAAACAAACACACATATACACACACACACACACACACACACACACACATACACACACACACACATACACACACATACACACACACATACACACACATACATACACACACACATACATATATACACATACATACACATGGGTGTGTGTGTGCCAAATAAACCTACCTTGTCAAATCCCAGCTCAAGCAGAAGTCTGTCAGCCACAAACTCAATGTATTGCTTCATCAGGTCACAATTCATACCAATAAGCTTCACTGGTAGAGCATCAGTCAGGAATTCCTAAGAAGTTAAAGAAACTAGATTTTTTTTTCTTGCCAATACAATGCATTTCATTGAAGTTACAGTACAGCTTCTACAAAATAAATAAACAAAAAAAAACCTGTTGAAACCTGAAACAAAAGACGTTAAAGCACACAAACCTGTTCAATTGCAACTGCATTCATGATGATTTTCTTAACAGTTTCTTCTGAAGGTTTGTTGACCAAGTGCTTGAACATGAGGCAGGCAAAGTCACAATGAAGGCCCTGTATGTATGAGAATAAACATTAAGACCATATCTTCAACTTTCACACTACACTTCCAAAAGCATTCATACCCGTTTTAGGGTGCGTCTTAAGTTACTTACCTCATCTCTGCTGATAAGTTCATTGGAGAAGGTGAGTCCAGGCATGAGTCCTCTCTTCTTTAGCCAGAAAATAGAAGCAAAAGACCCAGAAAAGAAGATTCCTTCCACAGCAGCAAAAGCCACCACTCTCTCCCCTGAATACAAAGACTTAAATTAGCTCAAGCCATTTAAAATAAAATAACCAATAATAGTATTTTAAATACAACATACCAAATTGTGCATTTTTGTCACCAATCCAGCTGAGCGCCCAGTCAGCCTTCTTCTTTACGCAAGGCATCGTCTCAATGGCATTGAAAAGATATTCTCTACAAGACAAATAAAAACACGTCATTAGTCATCTAATGACTAAAATACACCGATCAGAATTAGACAAGCATGTTTATGGAGCTCAGTTAAGGCGATTGTTTCATGCTGACACCCTACAACCAGCTGACCACATGTCCACTGATCTTGAGCAGTCACCACTCAGCTCCCATTATCAGCTGAGGTCCGTACCCCTGCGCCACTCATCATTGGCCCAAATACCTCCAACATCATGCCCAATAGCTCACCTCTCTTTGGGATCTTTGATATAGGTGTCAATCAACAGACTGTACATTTCAGAGTGAATGTTTTCCATTGCAATCTGGAAACCGTAGAAGCAACGGGCTTCGGTCACTTGGACCTCCTGAGTAAATCGCTCCACCTAGAGCATCACAGAAGACAAGCAATTAGAACAGAGTTACCCTTTACATGTGTTTGCACAAGTTTGCCTCTGAACTCACCAAGTTCTCGTTGACAATGCCATCACTTGCAGCAAAGAAAGCCAAAACATGGGAGATGAAATATCTCTCCTCGTCTTTCAGGGACTCCCAGTGCTGAAGATCTTTGGACAGGTCAACCTAGGAGAAAATAAAATGGAAAACTTTTCAAATGCAGCAACCTAAAAATCAAAATAAGCGTGGCAGCAGCAGCATTAAGGTAGTGTTTGATGCGATATTTAAGAACCATAAGAATATGGGACAAACTTGAATTATCTATGGTATCAAACATAATTTGAAGCTTACCTCCTCTGCGGTCCAGAAGGAGGCCTCTGCCTTCTTGTACATCTGCCAGATGTCATGGTACTGAATTGGAAAAATTACAAAGCGGTGGGGGTTCTCCTTCAGAAGGGGCTCCTCCTCCACAGCTCCCTTTCTAGCTTTTGTCTGGTCCTTAAAAGTCAAAAGGTAAAACTTTAGATTTGGCAACAAACCAAATTTTAAATGGCAAGTAAAAATCTAACAGCCAGTGTGAATGGAAGGAACACAAAATCATCCCATTATGCCCATTGCCAGTAAGGCTAAAAACTATGCACAAAATGTTTAATGATTTGCCAATGTCATACGCATTACATTTTAAAGACTTTAAAACCAAAATATTTTATTACACTTATTTTACTCAATCAACCACAAGGCATTAAACACTTAAAGATTTACCATTTTGACCAATATGCTAGTTTCGCCAGGGTTTGTTGCCTTGGTAACCATTTGTAACTATTTTCATATTACTGAATCTAAACACCAGAAATAGACACGCAGCTTTGTGTGGGTCCATATGGGGATTCCGTTTCACTCCCCTCCAAGCGATGCTACTACTTCCGGTCTAGTTAGCCGGTAAAACAAGAGTGCTCTTCCGTTTAACCGGATAAAGTTTAAGAAAATAATATGGTCATATAAACATTAATGTTTAACAAACAATTGTCATACAGAACGGGAGTATTTTCATGTTTAGACAAGTTTTCACATCAGTTCTGCGTAGTTAACAACATTAAATCAGCTCGAGATACTGACCCGCCAAAACAAAATATTACCCAATAAATTAGCGGTCTCAAAACACAAAATAATATCATTTTAAGTGACCATGTGTCATGGAGTCCAGTAAGATTTGCTTATGAGCTATTGTTCTTATTAAAGGCCCGGACAGTTTGGATTGATCAGCCCAACTTGGCGCGCTCTGAATCCGCCAAATTTCATCACTTTGAAAACATCGCTCGAGAAATCACTAATCATCTAAAATGGTATATATAACATGCGTTGATGTTGTGAATCCTGAAAAAACGTGCAGGAATGCAGTTAAAGTGAGCGTACCTCTGAATCATCAAAGATTTTGCGCGCCGTTTTGGACGCCAGGATTCTGGTGGAGTTCAGACTGGGTGGCTGAGGACAAAACAAATAACCCATTTAGAAGATTTACCACGATTAACATGTTTAGCATTTGGCTTTTTAGTTAAGCAAATGTGAGGTTTCTAGCAAAATATATAGTATTGATCAAGACGCTTACAATTTAAAGCATCTCACTACACGTTTTAGAAGTAATAGCACGTTCTATATATACCTAAAAACTAAACTTACCGTGTTTTCTTTGTCCACCAAGGACATGTTATTCGTTTGTGCAGAAATGGTGTTTTCATTCTTGGTTTTCAGTGGAGAGCGAGTTGACGGCATTGTAAAGCTTAGAGTGTTAGGTAAAAGAGAAAATTAGGATAATAAAAAAAACAAAACTTCTAAAACAAAGCTACAAATAAATAAAATGAAGTGTAAGATTGAAGATCCACAGTCCAGCTGGAGGAAGGAAAACGAAGTATGAATGCCGGGGATTCTTTTATATTCGATTCTTGGCGCTCATTGTCAGCCAATAGGAAAAGGGCAAACTTTACTGCTTTGTTTGGTCCTTTTAATTCTTTCATCAGATGGACCAATCAGAATTCTCCAAGACCTCACGTGAGAGCTACGCCTAGCGGGAAATTCAAACGCGTTGGGGGATGCGAAGTGTTACACAAAACCGAACGTGCAATTACACAAACAGGTTTAAAAAGGCGCGAATATGGAACAAAAGCTATGTATTAAAATCAGGTAATTTTGTACAAAGTATTTAATTTACAATATACTAAAGTGTATAAAACGTGTGTTCAAATTAACAGCCCACACAAGAAACCCTTACATTTACATACAGTATTAGTAATAGCATGTCTGTTCACACTTTACATTAATGAGTTGGCATCATTTGTAATTCCCTTTGAACAGAATAAGGTTATTGAAAATGACACGTAATGCCAACGAAACCACTCCAGTCGAGACCGACTGCGGTTACCAGTCACATTAAACAGCACACAATAAATATTACTTCTCATCTGCTGTATGGAGAAAATACATTTTTTTAAATACCTTTTGTTACAACGTCGCAGCCACAAATCCAAGCCTATTTTCAACAACAATCCCTCCCGAAAGTAAGCAATGGTTTGGCGCCAGATTTGAGTAAACAATCATAACAAATACATAACTGGTACTATCACCCAGAAAAAAACGGAAATTCATTTTTAATGGTGAACACAAAACTATAACGTTACATGTGATCTTTGAATTTACTAACTTACCTTCATAAAATCATCCCATTGACGTGGCGGAAAATTATTATTTTTTCTAGTTGTTTCTCTCGTCCACAAGCACAAAGATCATGTTGGGCACCATTAATTAATATAACACGCTACTTAAGTGTCTAAAAAGAGAGATTCTAAGTATACGTATTTTATTGTTGATTAAACTTTACACCACAACAAACTATCAGCTGCTAAGCCAGTTGCTCACAACAACCAAACCAAAACACGGATTCCTACGAGCTTTGAGATTCATTTCAAAATCTACGTTAAAAACAATAACCCAAATTGTGTTAAAAACGTATTTTGCAAAAATCAAAAATATTGAAATCCATTTTTGTTTCATAACAAAAACGTTTTCAGGACGCGGGAGTCGACAAAGAACAATAAAAACGCCCAAGAGGTCCCTGCCTGGGATAAAATACAGCATGCTTTTTAGAGACTGCCCCTAGTGGCAGGAGGACAATAATCACATAAAAGCGAAACATTTGTGTTAAGAAAAAAAGCTGCATACGTATCTTTTTCATGGTATTTTATTTTATTCTCAGATGACATTATTTATTTAGTTATTAATGTAATAATTTGTTCTATGTTTTTGGCTGAATGATAATACAGAACAAAATATTCCAATCCAAAATAAATATATAAATGATTTTAGCTACTATGAAATCACCAGATGCGAGACCTGTGGTGGAAATACAACAAATCCTCGAACAGTTATGCCATACAGTAAACTGCCTCTGCTAAAGAAACCAGCAGGGGACGCACCTAACCTTTAATAAAAACTTGCCGTTTGAGAGACATTTAAAATGAATTGTCTGCATTTGCAAAAAGTTGTTAAAAGGTTAGTATTGTCATCATATATGACAAACAACTAATGGTCAAATGCGAATATGGCATAACACTGGTTCTCCACAAGATAAAAAAGACAGTCACGTAATAGGCCGTCATCGAGTTTACCCATTTTTCTTACTTCTCACTTTGGTTTAGATAATCATCATTAAAATAGAAAAACTGTATTTGTCAACTTTCAGTACAGTAACAATGTATATTGTTTTTTCTTTGTGCTTTCTTGTTTCGTTTGGAAATATCGGTCAGCAAGGCAAATGGGCGGAGACCAAGGCTTGTCAGTCATATTTACAGCTCGTCATCCTCTGTGATTGGTCGCGCCCCCTAACCGCTCCACAATGGAGCAATGTGATTGGACGAGGTTTGTTACTGGGTGCTGTGGGGTGACAATGTTGAGAATTGATGTTGAGTGGGGCTGCGTTCAGCCCCGACAAAACGGTGCAAAACGTTTTTTAAACGGAAACGGTGGTGCGTTGAACGCCCTGTTCTGATGACGCAAGAGTTGCGATTATGGCAGCTGAGAAGGCCATTCATTGTGTTCTTTTTTAAGATTTTTCGGAGCCTGATTAAAAATCGTTATAAATACGTGTTTAATACTGCAAAATACGCTCAATGTTACAGTCACTGCCCTTGCCCTCCAGAATAAAAGAGAACATCCCAATCGAGTGAAGGGATTTGTGGAAACTGTGGTTCCGAATTATTGTGATCCAACATTTGCCTCGCATTTTAGGATGAAAAGACAAACATTTCAGGTGAAGGATAATCCACTTCTTACCTCCGAGACTGTGTTATGATCTATATGACCTTATTATTTTTATTGTGAGTATTAGGCTTATCATTATTGCTGATCACTGTTGTTGTGCTATATTTTAATATTTACCAATGCCATTATATAATCAGAGGGGTATAGAAAAGTTTATGAAAGTGTCACTCCACAATACAATAGCAAAATATATAAATATGTATAGTATTTTTATGTTACATTAATCAGTGTCTAGCACACCTTCCTAAGGAAAGGATATGGACCAGAAGACATTGCAATTACTAAACGATATTTAGACAGACTTAAAGAAGTTCCAGATCTATACTTGTGCTCTCATTATTTAGTTATTTTGCCTTTAGTGTAAATAAACGTGCAAACAATATACTTGCTCTTGTGAATTTATTTAGATGTTAATTACATTGTGCGAGCTGTCTCTTTAATACCACGTGGTTTATATACATGTTGCTGCTGATTGGGCTGACATTTTTGACACACCATCCAAACAAGAGAAAACGTATCTCAAACCCCGTTGCACACCGTTTCCAGGAAACATGTCGTTCAAACCGGAAACTGTAGCAAAATGTTGCGTACCGGTTTGAGCTTGAACTTGCCCCTGGTGTTGTGTAACTGTGTCGTCACACCAGTTCATGGCTATGTAATGATTCCATTGTTTTCCTTTTCGACGTTTTACACGTTGTGTAACACTTGTCAGCCTGTTACGTGTTATGTTTATTTGTTGTGTAATTTCTACGTTTAATGCGTTTAGGTGTTTTTGTTATTTTAAGTCTAGGCAGTGTGTAATGGCTTAAAAGGCTTATTTTTTTAATAAATTACTGAGGTCTCAAACTCAGCTCAAAAAATAGAGGTAACAAATAAAACAAATTCTATATTCTTACTACAAATGTTTATTATTAAATAATATGGAATATTGCAGGTAGTATCGCATACAGGAATACTGTCCAATTAACAGAAGTAACATCAATAACATTTATTCATATATCAACAATAAATGCAAATTTGAATACACATTACATTCATATAGATAGTGATATTTATTTACAACTATACAACAGTAAAGAGTAAGTAACAGATGAACTGATGTAAAGACTTTGGCAAAGGGAGTAAATACACATCGGGAGACATAACTTATATAAAAGTAAACAAGAATTCCTTATAAACAACCATGATTAAAATAAAAATCCAGTGCAATGTCACGTTGTTTTTTGAACATGGATGTGTAGCAGCCTTGATTTTCTTGTATTTCCCCTGTTAAATGGTAAGTTGGATATTGTCCTGAGGTGACTGAGGTGAGTGGTCTAAGTCTCGACCTAGTTTGAGGCAGGAAGAAGCAGACTAAGGGGCATGGAAGATGGTGCTTGGGAAGTGGCTATTTTGTTCATGTCGAGAACTTCGTTAGGCCACGCTGTGGACCTCTTGGTTGTCATATGACGCCGTGCGTGCTTGGTCAGGTGGTCGCTTCGCATGAACCGACGCTCACAGACAGGACAGACAAATTTCTTTTCACCCGTGTGCGTCCGACGATGCCTGGAGAGTTCATCTGAACGGGCAAATTTTTTGTCACACCCTTCCCAATGGCAACTGAAAGGCTTCTCACCTGAGATACAGAGGAAGATGATCAACAAACATGTTTTATGGATGCAACCTATTAGAACAAAAACATATTGTCTGCCAGATAGATACAAACCTGTATGGGTTCTCAAATGAGCCTTCAAGTGGGAACTTTTGAAGTAAGTCTTCTTGCAGCCTTGGAAGTTGCAGATATAGTTCCGTCTGCGCGAGAAGTCAGATTGTGTCACTCCACTGCTCTGACCTGAGGGCACGTAGACTGGAGCGGGTGCCAAGGGCAGAAGCTTCGTGTTCCCAAGTGTAACAATGCTCTGCTGGCAGGTGGAGGATTGGGATACCCGAGACTGCGGGACAACGAACATCACAGTGCCCTGAGCCACAGGTGAGCCCACCAGAAGAGGTTGAGAATGTGGAAGAATGGGCTTCGATCCCGAGGCCTGCATCTGAACTGGAGTCTGAACAAATGCGGAGATGATTCCAGTCTGCCCGTTAACAGGAAACACCTGACAGAGCACTGGCGGGCTGGACATGGGCGTCTGGGGAATGGCGGGCGGTGATGTTGGGATAGCAATACCCGTGGAGTGAGGGGAAGGGGAAGTTCTCTCCGTTTTTGCAGTGTCACATGGGCTACTGCAGCTTTGCAGTTCGGCTGTGAGGTTGGCAATTGGCTCTGTGTGCTGTAGAGGGATTTCTGAGGAACATGGCTTCTCCTGCCCTGTGGTCGGAGATGGAATGTTGTGGTCCACTGATCTGTCGCCAGTGTGCCGTATAACGCTGGTGGCTCTGCGAAGTGAGGGCTGTTCTGTTGGTAGTGATGGGTTGAGCAGGACTGTGGTGCTAGGATGCAAGTTGATGTGACATGCAGCCCTGTTGGTCAAGGCTGAGCATAGTCTGGGATGTGGTTTGAGACCTGAGCAGGCCACTGAGGTACTAAGAACCGCTGTGCCTGAAGTTTCCGCAAAGCTTGGGCTATGGGGAGGGGTCATGCACTGTTGGAGAGAGGAGATTTGCATTGAGCATTGGGAATTTCCTTTAAGGCTGGAGTATACTACACAACTTGTACTCAGATTTTTGGCCTAAATTTAAGTCTGGACGAGTTGACGCTAGTTGGCAAAG